AATGCGTGTGTGTGTGGTGTGGTGTGTGCGTGTGTTGTGTTTGTGCGTGTGTGGGGGGGGGGGGGAGGGAGGTAGAAGCTCCTGGAAGCTTGGTGAAGATGAGAAATAATCCCAGGCTCCCAGGAGCCTTTAACAGAAAGTCTGTGGCAAAAGCAAACAAAGAACGATTTAAACATCTTGAACACTTAAATCCCCCCTCAACACTAATGAATCAGATACCAAATACCACTGCGATTTATAAGCTCTTTCTGCCCTCGACCCTGGCCCCAGGCACTAGGGAAAGGGGGAGGCCGTCCGCACCCTGTGCCCCCTCTCCCGCCTTCCCAGGGCTGGGTTTTAGAACCCTGTCTTTGGCAGCCCGTGGTCCCTCAGCGCTGCTGGGGGCCCCGAGGGGGTATTTGGCAGGAAGACGGAGCCGCCGTGCGGTTGGTGAAACACTGGCTTTCTCCACGCTCTGAAGGTGCGAGGAAGTGGTTTCTGACCTTTTCTCTCCTCCGCCTGTGATCACACACCGCCTTCCCTCCCCCAGCAGCCGGGGCGCCAGCACCACCGAGCACCGAGCGGAACGGTGACAGCTGACCTGCCTGTGCCCCCCCCCCCCCCCAGCTCTCCCCCCTCCCCCCGTGGTAAGCAGAGCCGCCTGCCACAGGAATCAGGTGAGGGGCCTGTTGAAGAGCGAGAGGCCATACTTAGTCACATAATTCTCATCACACCTTCTTGACCGCGCTTGCTATTTAACATCCTCCAGTGCGAAGTGTTTGGCCACAAACTGGTTTTTATGCTTTATAACCCGTATGCTTTACCTGTGTCAGTACAGTGTCCCCAACTCAATTATTGGGAAGCAGATGTGCACTGCTGCAGGTCTCCAGCAGGGGGCGCGCCGGGAGAGCCACATCCCCGCCTCCCCAGAGGGCTTCACCAGCTCTCGCTCTTGGCTCTCCTGGGACAGTAGCAACTGGACGGCACCCATGCGTGACCACAGCACTGGTCTGTGCAGCAGGGGGTGGGGCTGCCCATTTTCCTAAATGCAGGAGTCTGTGACTTTGAAAAATATTACTGGTCTGGCTTAGAGAAAAGTGGCAGCAGGGCTCAAGTTACGTAAACAGCATGGGCTATACAATTTGATGTTGTTGAAAACAAGAGATGCGTCTAAGGATTTTGTAGACGCACGTTGTGGGCAGGTGGTCTTCCTGTGTTCTCATCCCAGCGCCAGCCCCAGCCCCAGCCCCAGCCCCAGCCCCAGCCCATCCCCATCCCCATCCCCAGCCCCAGCCCCAGCCCATCCCCAGCCCCAGCCCCAGCCCCAGCCCCAGCCCATCTTCCACACCCCGCACAGCAAGGTTTCTAAAGAGTCACCCTGATCACCTGATTCCCTTTCGTAAACCTTTGAAGGTCACAGTCCTTACTGGGCCCCACCGATCCCGGGACCTGCCCCCTCACCCTAGCTCACTTCTTACCCCCCTCCCTTTAAAAGCCCACCCAGGCCTTTGCTTCCCCACCACCCCCTCCACCAGAAAACGTTCCCTCCTTCAAGAGTAAGTTCAAACATCGCCTCCACCTTGAGGCCTTCCTGGCCTTCCTCTCGGGCCTGCGCACTCTGTCTGCGCTTTCCCTGAGGACTGATCAGACTGCACAGTCACCCCCGAATCCCCCACCCTCACCCACAGCCTCCGCCAGCGGACACAGGCAGCTCGCTCAGTGGTTGTGAATAAATGCGTCCTTGTGTGAAGCACAGCTTTCCTCACTCTCAGCTCGCAAAGTGCTCAGGGCAGGAGAAGGAAATGACTGAAGTGCAGACAGGTTAATGGGGCTCAGCAGTCACGCCGCCTCCGGTGGCCCCGGCGCCGGGAAGGGGCAGGAACAGAGACCAGGACCCTGCGCCCTGTACCTGATTTCGCTCGTTCACAGCCGCAGCACCAGCTTCATAATTTATGGGGTTCAGCGCAAACGGGAAGGCGGGCTCCCTATTCAAAGGTTAATAAGGATTTCAAAAGATGACAGCAGAGCATGAACCCAAACCAGGGCCCGGCACAGGCTCACACAGCCAGCCCTGAGGGCGCCTGGGAGAAACTGCGCGTCACTTTTTAGAGTGGGTTTAACTCAGGGGTGGGCAAAAGTAGGCCTACAGCTGAAATACAATAATTAATAAATAAGTAATAAGTCAAGAATGAACTCTTGTGTACTCACAACTGTAAGCCTACTTTTGCCCATCCCTACATGTCAAATTGTTTTAAAATTTATTTTCTCATGCCCACCCATACAATTGTTGGGTTGTTCTCATTTATAAGTGCAGATTCTTTTAAAAAGTGAATTATTTTACTTCACGCTGTTTTAGGGAAAATACCACATATCCATTAGTCCTTAAGAAATAAATGAGGAAATACATTCTAATCACACCTTCCTGCCACACCCGCTTGTGGTGAGAGGGTGCTGGCTGGGCCTTCACAGGGTTATGTCAGCAGGACACATCTTTATCACCCTTTCACTGGCTTTTAAACCCTAGCATCGCCGGTTCTCCATGCAATAGCATCATTTCTCATGTGATTTTATTTGATAGCAATCTTCGTAAGTTAGAGATTGTTATATGAACCCCAAATGAACCGAAGTTTATCAGACACCATTGTGATGAAACGTGGGGATATGTTGATAAAGTAAATGAAGGTTTATATAAGGTTGTGTGTGTGTTTTTTCTCCCCAAAACTCAATTATTGGGAAGCAGATGTGCACTGCTGCAGGCTCTCCAGCAGGGGGCGCGCCGGGAGTGCCACATCCCCGCCTCCCCAGAGGGCTTCACCAGCTCTAGCTCTTGGCTCTCCTGGGACAGTAGCAACTGGACGGCACCCATGCGTGACCACAGCACTGGTCTGTGCAGCAGGGGGTGGGGCTGCCCAAGAAGCTGGACCCGTGGACAAACACCAGGTCCAGCTTCCTTAGTCAGGGTTCCATCTCATGCCCCCAAACTTAGCTGTTTCTGCTCTTTTCTATACACTTCAAAGCCAGAGAACCTAGGACCAGAGCTAAGTTCATGAAACAAATTCCTCAATTTGATCTCCTGATTTCTCCCCAGCCCGACATATTCACCACCAGCAGCATTTGAACAGACCTGATTGTCAGAACTCCTAACTCCGGGAGCTCAGTTTTCTCATCTGCAAATGAGAGTCACCCCCTGCTTCCCAGGGCCCCTCAAAAATGAGCAAGAGGACGCACTGGGGAGACTGGCAGAGGAGGTGCTCGGGTGGTCACCTGTTTTGTTGTCTGGGGCCTTGTGTTCCCGAGAAGACAGGGCTGCAGAAGGTGAAAGAGAAAACAGCTGCCAAGCCACTTGGTGGAGAGTCACAGGTAGGAGACGGGACACAGCAGGTGCCTGCACCTGCCGCTGCTCACTGGGATTCTCACCTAAGAACACGCACACAGACGCCCATGCACTCACTAAAAACACCCTCCGCAAAGAAATACACCAGAACAAATCCAACCAACACACCCAGCTGGTGCCTTAGACACGTCCCCGCAGGCTGCAGGCTGCAGGCTGCCGTGTGGAAGCACGCGCGGCGGGAAGTGAACGGTGCAGATGGGGCAGGTGGCAGAGGGCACCCTGGGCAGGTGGTGAGGCGGGAGACAGAGAGGACCAGAGACATGTGGGCTGTGCACACCCGGGACTTCCAGGTATCGTAAGAGTATTTTCCTAACAAGATCCAGGGACATTTCAAAACGTATTTAAATGGCTATACCTTTGGCCTTAATTACTTCACACCATTGAATTCGCTCTAAAGCAATTCCTAATAAAGACCATTAATAGCTTCTAGAAGGAGCCCAGCAGGGGTGGCTCAGTGGTTGAGCGTTGACCTATGAACCAGGAGGTCACGGTTTGATTTCCAGTCAGGGTACATGCCCAGGTTGTGGGCTCAATCCCCAGTAGAGGGGATAGCATGCAGGAGGTGGCCGATCAATGATTCTCACTCATCATTGTTTTTTTTAAAATGTATTTTTACTAAAGGCCTGGTGCATGAAATCGTGCACTCGGGGAGGTCCTTCAGCCTGGCCTGTGCCCTCTCGCAGTGCTAAGCCAGCTGTTGGACATCCTTAGCACTGCTGCCGAGGCGGGAGAGGCCCTGCCACCACCGCTGCTCTTGCCAGCTGTGAGCCCGGCTTCTGGCTGAGCAGTGCTCCCCCTGTGGGAGTACAGTGACCACCAGGGGGCAGCTCCTGCATTGAGTGTCTGCCCCCTGGTGGTCAGTGCACATCATAGCAACTGGTCGTTCCACCATTTGGTCAATTTGCATATTAGCCTTTTATTATATAGGATTGATTTCAGAGAGGAAAGGAAGGAGAGAGAAACATCACTGATGAGAATCACCGGTTGGCCACCTCCTGCACATTCTCCACCAGGGATCAAGTCCACAACCCAGGCATGTGCCCCTGACCAGAATCAAACCTGGGACCCTTCAGTCTACAGGCCGACACTCTATCCACGGAGCCAAACCAGTCAGGGCTCATCATTGTTTCTCTCTCTTCCCCTCTGAAATCAGTAATATATTTTTTAAAAATAGCCTCTAGAGCAGCGGTTCTCAACCTGTGGGTTGCGACCCCTTTGGGGGTCAAACGACCCTTTCACAGGGGTCGCCTAAGACCATCGGAAAACACATATATAATTACATACTGTAGTTGTGATTAATCACTATGCTTTATGTTCAATTTGTAACAATGAAATTGGGGGTCACCACATGAACTGTGTTAAAGGGCCGCGGCATCAGGAAGGCTGAGAACCGCTGAGGTAACATTCAGCAGGGGGACCAGGGCCGCTCTTCTGCCTTCAGCCAGGGTTTCATGATGGAGCTGGGAACAGAACAAGATAATCTACAAGATACTCAGTAGCAAGGACTCTGCTTCCGCTGTGAAGGCCCTTTATGTATCTCCCTAACCGCACCGTCGGTCACCTCCAATCCACAGGCGCTATGCTTCTGATCATGTGGCAACAGGAATCCAAACAAACAAAAAGGCAGTTCACTTTTGTAAGAAACAATATATTTATTTTCTGACACCACAGCTCTGGTGAGTGGTTTTGTACCAAATTTAATGGAGGTTACACAGAACGTTTTACGCATGGGAGCGGGGAGGGGAGGAACCACAAAATTAAAAACAAAATCCTGGGTAGCTTTTAGCATCTGTTCCACTCCCACATTAATAAAATTCACTTGGGAATTCCTAATAAAAGAACAAAAAGCAAGGTATACTGGGGAAGAAAAGACGAAGGGAAAGAAGACCCTGGAGATTCCAAAGACGGGCTTCCCCCCGAAGCCAGGAGGCCGCCGGCATGAAGGAGTCTGTCGGGTTACTTCCCCAAAATAACACCGTGTATTGCAGCTGCCAAAGGGGACAGAGAAGAGGGAAGCAGGGGCCGCCCCTGGGGACACGAGGGAAGGAAATGCTAACCAAGGAGGTGGGAAGGAGGGGAGGGAAAACGAGAGAACGGACGGTGGGTTTGCAGACGGGGAGACAGTGCTGAAGACTCTTGAACTGAAAAACAAAATGTCCTAAATGTCATGATTTTTAAAAAGAAAATATTTCCCCCTCCCCCCACCCCTCGCTGAACTTAGTTCCTTTTTTTGTGCTTTTCATTAATACTCTGCTCTGAGGTCGTAGTTTGGTTTTTCTGTACACTGGAGTTGAAAATAGTCCAAAGGTCTGAAGATGGATTCTCCACCTAAAGTAAACAGCCCAGCATCCTGTTCTCCTCGCGTCCCAAAGACTTCCGTCTCTGCTAAAATCCCTTTTACAATATAGTACAGTACACGCAGAAATAAAGCCCAAAGCGGAAACAAAACCAGAAAAGAATCCTGGGAGAAGCCAGTCCAAAGGACGTAAACATACAGAGAACGGTGCAACACGTGACCGATGGCAATTCTAAAGCACGGCTACAGATTCCCAAAAGGAGGCGCCATCATGGGATACCCAAGTCCACAAAAATAATCTTTAAAAAATAAATCTTAAAAAACACACACCTGTTGATTAAATGAATCATTTGTTTTCTGGTAAATCCATACATTCTCGAGTTCCCCCCTCCCCCAAAGCAGCCCTCGGGTCTCTGTTCTCCTATTGCATGACTGACAGTCTCCTGGGGCCCCTAAGCAGCCCTCAGGACTGAAATCTCATCCGGACGAGGATCGGCACATCCAATTGTAGCAGCTTAAAACATCATGTTTCCTGGGTTGCCAGGTCCTTGACCGAATCCGCCCATGCCCACGTCGGCGGCCATGCCCCGGGGCCGCATCTGTGGGGGGACCATGATGTTCTGTTGGGGTCCCATCATGCCCTGCATGGACATCATCATGCCCGGAGAGCCCACGGGCCCAGGGTGGGGATAGAGCCCGGCCGGTCCCCGATCCTTGCCAGGGATCATGCCCACGGCTGCAGCTGGATTGCTCATCAGGGCGGGCTGGCCGGGCATTGCCGATTGTGCTGGTGACATCATCCGATGGTGCGGTCCCATCATGCCTTGCTGGAGAAAGGCTGGTGGTCTCATTGGGTTGTGGCCTGGCATGGATGGAGCTGTGCCAAGAGGGATGTCTGGAGTTCCCACGGGGCCTGGACCTCCCATGCCAGGTAATGCCAGTCCCATCCTGGGGGCTTGCTCGCCCATCATCCCCTGCATGTGCGAAAAGCCAGGCCCAGGCCCCTGGGGCTGTTTGCGGCCGGGGACTTCCCCGCGAGGGAAGTACTGCAGTGTCTGGCTGGGCTTCTCCGAGGGAATGATGCGAGACAGATCGAATTCGGGGATGCCGGTGGCTCCAGGTCGGATGACCTCCTGCAGGTCTGGGTCTGTAAACACCGAAGGCATGCTGTTCCCCAGGACAGCGAAAGAGTCAGGCCCCCCCGGGCCTCCAGGCTTACAAAGTGCTGCGTCTGCTGAACTCGGGGGCAGGTTGCTGGGGCGGCCCAGGGGGCCTTCTCCGGGGAAACCCATGCCTCCTGGGAAGCTGCCCTGCCCCCCACTGGGACCGTTGTGGGGGAAAGGAACCTGCTGGGGGGGAGACTGTACTGGAGGGAAGCCCTGGGGAAAGCCCATCCGTCCTTGAGGTGCCATCGGAGGCTCCTGGGACCCGTGCCCCATGAGAGGATTGTGGGACATCAAGCCCGGCCCCAGGGGGACCCCGTGAGGAGGTATGCTGGGCCCCATGGCATTCGGAGACGGCATCTGATTGGAGTGAGAAAGCGGCTGGGTCATTCCCATTGGGCTGAGGGTTGGCATCGGGACCACGGGGTTTGGACCTGAAATTCGAGGATTCTGTGTATTAATGCCCAGTCCTAGAAAAATAAAGATAGAAAAGGTATCAACTTAACTGAAAGCAACTCAGTACTATAATCAAATTAACAAAAAAATTATTGTGCACCAAATGTGCATGGTAACTTAGGAAAACACACAACGCACAGCCCCTGCCCTCAGTCAGATGATAGCACATCTGGGGGCACACAGCCAGCTCTCCAAGACAATATATTATTGTCCGACACGGTAGGACACAGGTGTATGTAGAAGACAGCTAGGAACAAAGTCTCCTGTGTGAAAAGTTACAAATTAGTATGCAAATGAGTAGATAGTCGTCACTGGAGACGTTTAATATAGAAGCAAACAATGTGTCTAAATGACGTAAGCACAGTGCTTTTTGAGAAGGAAGATTAAGTAGCCCTGAAAGTCCAAGAATCAGAAATAACAAGGACAGCTTCATCGACTGCCACTGGGATTATCACGTTACACTGCCTTACGGGGGCGCATTTCACACTCGGGTCACACGAAATGTTAGCGAAACGGTCACTTCCAGTGAAGAAGGGGCACTGCAGTAGCTGGTCTCTATGGAATCTCCACTGAGTGTGTGAGGACGATGCTTGTCCGGTCCGCACAGCACGTCCCGCCCTGATTAATCAGGATGGCCGGGATAAAGCGCGTTCCCAGCAATCAGAATGGCTGAAAAGTCAGTGTCTCTGCCGCCCACCCCACCCCCCAGATGACATCCCTTAGTGTTCGTGAGACGGGGCTAGAGAGGCGTGGGAGAGTGCGGACGAGGGGAGGCGTTTCCTCTCTAGCCTCAAGTGTTTCTCTAGGAAACGGGCTTCCACCGTCTCAAATCCTATGGCTGCTTGTGGTTTGAGGCTGCCCTTTCAGGAAACGCTGGGGAACTAAAGACATTCTAACCAGCGTGTTAAGAAGAAACTGCTTTCAGTGCGGCCTCGGGAGGGCCACACCCGCCCCAAACCCGGGTAACAGAAGCCCCAGAGCTTCTCTAAGGAAACCTGCTCTCTCAGAAGCACACGCTGAATCCTCTTAGAACGTCCACCTATCGAGGTCTGTAGTTATCAAGAAAACATGCGAGAAGTTTCTCCTCTCTGGCACCAGCTCTACATCCCGTCTCCCTGGCTCTTACCTGGCATGTTATTCATGGATGGCAAGTTGGGAGAACGAGCGGGAGGGGAGTCGTCGTCCGAGCTGGCCACGGTCTTGATGGCGTCGTGGTATAACGGGGTAGAGCTGGGCATTGCAAACTTGGACATTCGAGACATCATGATGGACAGCGGGTTCTGGGACAGGGTCGGCTCTGGAGGCATGGTGTACGGTGTGCTGGAAGGGAGGCTGCCCGGCAGGTTCACAGGGGCAGGCTGGCTGGCTGTGGGCGGCGGGGGGCCACCTAGGAGAAGACAGCAAAGGAAACAGAAGTGGGCAGGGAGTCAGATTCCTCCTGACGGCTCGTGGGCCTCTATGAACGAGCAAGGCCAGGGAGGAGGCCGAGGAACAGGGCAGTGTTATTAGACCCAGGACACAAATCATCCATCTTCCCGTCAAGCGCTGTGTGTGGACAGAGGGAGACGGCAGCATGAGGCGGAGGTGACAGGTCCGCAGAGGGGAAGACAAACACAGCAAGAATGCGTTAAAAATATTAGTGCAGGCTGGGAAAGACGGTTCACAGACCATGATTTCGCTAAAATAATGTGAAATAAGTGCATTGTTCCCCTGCCCATTGCAATTTAGGATTTGAGTCGGGGATTAGTATAGTGTGAGGCCAGACCAGCGCTCTGACCCCAGGTACTATCCCATCACCCTACACACGTTCTTGTTTTTATGTGTGTTTTTTTAATTGATTTCAGAGAGAGGGAGAGTGTAAGAGAGAGAGACAGAAATAGAAATATCAATGATGACAGAGACTCATCTATTGACTACCTCCTGCACGTCCTCTACTGGGGACTGAGCCTGCAAGCCGGGCGTGTGCCCAGACTGGGAACTGAACTGTGACCTCCATGGGTCGATGCTCAACCACTGAGCCACACAGGCTGGGCCTGTGATTATTTCCACAACCAGTCTGAGCTAAGAAGGTCTGAGGGGCTGCCCACTATACAGCTTTGGTGAACGGCTATCCCACAGAGAGACACACTTCGGCTTATAGGATAAATCTTGTCTCATTTTGATTCTAATCTTTCTCAAGTGGAGACAGCTCGGACCTGGTATTTACACCCAGTGCTTATCTTCCTCGGCCACCTCTGGCCTCGTTCACAAACCACCACCATCATGAGAGCCTCTCCTGGGAGGAAAATACCAATAAACTGCAGCTGATCGTGAGAACAGCAGTCTCCCGGGGGGCGGGGGGCTCGTATGTGCGAGAACCCTGAGGTCTCCGCAACCTCTCCTCGGCCTGGGATTAGACGCAGACTCTCTCGATGCGAGGGCAGCCCCCTGAAGTGGGGAGGTCTGTTGTTTAAAGCCGCATTTACCCAATGCTGACATTTTACTTTGCAAATGTAAATTATTCTGTGAAAGGACCGATTTCCCATTTCCCTTCTCCTTTTACCCATCTGACAGGTGCCTTCGGCACTAACAGCCTGTGTCCTCTTTCGGGATCTGACACGCCTGCAGGACCCCAGGGAAGTACTGGTCACGCACTTTGCCAACAAAGATGTCCGCTGGCAAAGGCCGCCTCCTCTGGCTGCATGGTAGGCGAGGACAGCAGTTTTCCTACAGTAAAGACTGGCGTTCGCCGTCTCCAGCTACAAGGTGGCCGCAAGGACGCGAGCACTGACCTGACTCCACGCTTCCCAGCAAGGCCGGGGAGGCCATGGTGAGGGGCGCTTTATGGTTGGGAGGGATCCCGGGGCTCTGGAGGGGAGGTTTCGGAGAGGAGGTCCATCCGGGCGACGGGGCAGGAAGTGACGGAGACTTGAGGTGAACAGGCGAAGCAGCAGCAGACCCCAAGACAGGGGGGGACTTAATGGAAGCAGCAGCAGCTGGGCCCGCCAGCATGCCTGCCAGCTGCGAGGGAGTCTGGGGGGACTTGAGATTCCCGGAGGGCGAGCCCAGCATCGGGGACTGGACCTGGCGCATCGTGGGAGACTTCAGGGGGTTAATGCCCGGGGAGTGCACCTGGCCGCCTGCCACGGAGATATCCAAGGGCTTCCGCCCCAGGCCACGCTGGACGGGAGCAGCGGTGCTGAGGCTCGGGGGGTTGCTGGGAGGGTTGAGAGGTAGTGGTGGCATGTGACTGAGCCGGCTGTTAGTCCTTTGGTCGGGCCCGATGGATTCTCTGAGATTCCGCAAGCCACTGCTGCTGCCTGGACCCTGAGACATGGGGAGGAACGGCCTGGGGCCCATGCCATACTCTTGCTGAGGGTGCTCCCCGAACGGCAGGGGCACCATCTTCTGCTGAGCGGGCAGCAAGTCCGCGCCCCCGGGGCGCAGTTTCATCATCTCCTCAGGGCCCGCCCCAGCCTCTCTCAGCTTCTGAGGTATCATCTGAGAGTTGGATGCCATGTTGACGTTCAGACTGACATCTCCCTTCATCCCACCGGGAACCATCCCAAACTCCAGTTCCCGCCCAGGGCCCATCTGCGGGGGCATTCCTTTCGGAAAGTCCCCCCTGGAAGGACTCAGAGGGCCCTCCACCGGGATCCGAGGGAAAATGGGGTTGTTCCCCGATTCCATGTGTCGCTGGGAGCCGGGGATCATCCTGTTCATGTCCAGGCTGGGCCTGATGCCGTCCATGCTCATCCCCGGAGGGAGGCTCAGCTGCTTCTCTGCCAGCTGCTGCTGAAACATCTCCTCAGACAAGCCCTGGGGGGTCGGGAAGCGCTCCCCTCGGCCGGGGCCGCTGAAGATGCCCTGGCCAGGCGGGAAGTTCCGACCGTCTGGGATTTTTGGCACATCATCCGGCCAACTGACTCCAGAAAGACCTGGTCTCGATGCTGGGTTGGGGACACTGGGCGCCTCCATTTCAGAGTTGATCATCCCTGCGAAGCCCGGGAGGCGCATCTGGCTCCCTGGCATATTGGGGTGGGGAGCCATGCCCCTCGGGGGCAGAGAATGCGGCATGCTGATCCCATCAGCAAACGGCTCTGCACCCCCAGGCCCCCAGCCTTCACCGGGGGCCATCTGGTACGGAGGGGGCGGCCCCCGGACCACCCCCCGAGGCCCGTGCGGATGGACCATCATGTCCTGGAGGGAGCACTGCTGCACCACCACCTGCTCCTGCTTCCTCCTCTTCTCCTCATAGAACTCCTGCTGCAGCTTCAGCCAGGCTATCTGCTCAGGGGTCATGTGATCCAGGTGGTCGGGGCCCATGGGCCCAGGCTGAGCGTTCATGGAAGGTGGAACCATTTCATCTGGAGAGAAGGGCACATCTCTATGTCCTTGGGGGCCAAATGGAGCTCCCACATCTGTCCGGGGCCCAGGTCCCTTACCTAGGCTTTGGGACTGAGCCATCATGGCCTGTATCGGCCCTTCCGGTTTTTTCTGAGGCCCATCTAATACCCCAGGATTCTGCTGGGGCCCCCCACTCTGTCCTGTGAATTCCTTCTCATCGGGGAAAAGCATGCGCTGGATGTCTCTGAGCGTCTGTAAGGAGCGCTCCCGGTGCTCCAGCTGCTCCTGAGACAGGCCATCGGGGTTCTCTCCCAGGGCGGGGGGCTCTGCACTGGGCAGTGGAGGCGGCGGCGGGGCTTTGGGATCTGTGGAGGAGCTACTGCTCCCCTGTGAGACGGGGGTCACCGCTCGGTTGTTGGGCGTCAAGTTGGGCCCAGTGCCATCTGGGGGCAGTGGAGTGGAGCTGGCAGGACTGCCCACCGAAGGAAGCAGTTTGTTTTCTGCCCCGGGGCTGTCCCGGTCCAGGGGACGCAGGGGCGCGGCAGGCTTGGGTGCTGGTGCCGAAATGGGTGGAGTTGGCTGTAGCCGGGCATTCTGGGAAGAATTCTGGTCTTGGTTGGCCGGAGCTGGGGGCTGTTGTGGGAGAGGTTTCAGATCATTCCGAAGGGCAGATATCTGTGTGTTCTGCACATAAATGAGATTTAAAACATCACAGGTAAATTCAACAAAAGGGCAATTAAAAGAGCAAGATATGTTCTAAAGGGCTCAGTCACACACATCTACATTGACACTTGCTATGGAAATGGCCCATGTACGACCCCACTTCGGACGTGGAGGCATTCTGATTTTTTTCTTCCCCTTTACTGTCAACTAGCCTCCTCTTCCCCTCACTGAAGATTAGGTTCCAATAACTGTCTCAGCCTGCCAGGGAGAGCCACTGCCAAGTGAATACATTTGAGTATCTATTTCGAGGAACAGGTTTGATATCACATGTCTACTATGTGTTTCTGATTCAGGGCAAGATCAGTTCCTTGGTATGTGGGAGGCTGTACGTAACACCTTCTTATTTTCCCCGAAAGTACAACCGTGTATGCAGACGTCTCACTGTCAATCAAAAGGCCTGATGTTTTCAGCTGAGAAAGTGCTGTCCCATCTCCGCCCCAGCCAGAGGCTGCAGGCAGGCCGCCTCCTTCCAGCGTCTCCTCTCCTCGCCCTGAGTTTCCACACAGCCTGGCATCTCTGGTTTCTGCTTCCAGGCTGTGATCACTGACTCCATATTTGATAAGAATTTGTACATTAACTACAGTAAGATCACCTGGAGGCAGGAAGCGCCTGTGGAGAAATCTGAGGCTACCTGGCGCATGGTGTCTCTCGATCTGTTCTTTCCAATAGGAGACTGTCCTTGTCTCAGACTGGACGATCCCCTTATCATTATTTATTAAGGACCAACGCTACACGAGTCCCAGGTGAAAGAAAGCACACTCGCTCACAGCGGGTGACATGGATGCTGTCAGTGTGGGGAAGAAGGACATGTATGTTCTGGGTCTAAACCTTGGCAGCGCTGAAGGAACTAAAGACCAGAAGGGCCCAGCCACAAACCCCACCTCGGGGCTCTTTCCCAGCCTCCAGGGCACCCCACGGTCCCTTTTTGATTCATTTGCTCCTACCTGTTCACTGAATCCAGTTTGTATTTCCAAACCCCTAAGGCCCTTACCTGGCTCCCCACTTCCTCTCTGGAATGTTTACCTGTGTGCAAATTTGTACATAAATCATTATGTGTGTCTCTGCATAGGGACAGTCTGTGTTGAATAAACACAAAGACACACCTGAGAGCGGTCACATTCAGTGACTATGTACACAGAGGTGTCACCTGCAGGTGTCCATGCACATCCGTCTGCAGAACTGGTGTGGGGCAGGGCACGAGCCTGCAGGACCCTGAGCCTGTAGGACCCTGTGCGGTCAAAGTGTCTTCCATACCCTGACTCCGAGTAGGGTGTGGAGGTCACCTTCACTTCCTTCTAGTGCCGTTTTAGGTTTGGTTTTGTCGACCAGGTTTTGTCTGTTTGTGGGGGGTGGGCACTGATTTCATATCAGGTGACCATGACGGAAGAATTAACGTCAGTACCATTCTTTTTATTTTAGACTTAGAGCAAAGGTGATTTAATTATCCCCAATTCCCTGCCTAACTCCTTTTCTATTGCATTTTAGCCTCAGAGAGGGTGGAGGTGAAAACTGTATGAGATCTGTCATTAAGTCAATAAAATGTTGCTTTGAGTTGCATTGTGCCCTGTGCATTCTAGGACAATTAAAATTTAAATATATACATATTTAAGCATAAATTTAAAAATACATATACAGATAGACACCCCCCCCACACACACACACACACAAACACATTTTAAATGTCAGATCTCTCCGCCCTCTGCCCTGAAGGAGTGGAGACGGTGAGGAACAAGAAATGCCTTTCCCAAGTCCAGGAAAGCCCAGGCTCTGCGATGTCAACAGAGAGGGACTTTGCTGATATGCCATCTACTTTATCTTAAATTGTCCCTCAGTCCTGTTGCCCTTTAGCTTGTCCCATGGTCGACATTGATCCCAGTACTCGGTGTGACGCTTCCCACAAGCAGAGACTGCTTTGAACTTCCTAGTCTCCCCACAGCATCGGTGCGCAGTGGCGATGCCAGACACAAGGAGTATCTTTTGGTTCCGTTTGGAGGACTGCCTGAATCAAAACCACCATTGCATGCTTTTCCAGCGTAGTTGTCTATTAGGTGCTTATGTTCCAGACAGGAAGCAGGCTAACAATTTATTATAATTTTGGAAATATCAAGCAATTAAAAGCATTCAATGGTTCTCTTTTCTTAAAATATGTTTTTATTGATTTCAGAGAGGAAGGGAGGAAAGAGAAACATCGATGATGAGAGAGATTCACTGATTGGCTGCCTCCTGCATGGCCCACACTGGGCATTGAGCCCACAACCCGGGCCTGTGCCCTGACGAGGAATCAAGTCCGGGACCCTTCAGCCCACAGGCCAGCGCTCCAGCCACTGAGCCGGCTAGGGCTCAATGGTCCTCTTTGAAATAAATAAGAATCATTTGAAAGTCACAGAGACTCTCTGATTCGTCTATGACTTCATGATTTACTGGCATGTACTCCAATATTGTAGTTTTAGTTGTTGCTTTTTTCTGCCCTTCAACTAGCTTAAGAGTGTTTATTTTTTTAAAACCCTATACACAGGGTCTGAATTCACAGTCCCAGAGATAGTTCCATGAAGGAAACCCTAACATACCTACATAACTCCTGTTTTATTTTTCCCCTTTTCCCTCCTGGTAACTCACCAATGGGGTTAGATGCCCGAACGCAGCTTAGGACCCTCGCCCTATTGAAGACAGTCACCAGCTCCCACCTCTGGTCCCTGCAGAACCTTTAACCCATCGTTCCAACTCCCAAACCACATACCAGAGGGGCTGTGCTTCGGTCTGCCTTGCTGTTGGAGATGTTCTGGATGTGGAAAGAGACGATTGTTTCCACCTGGCCCTTCAGCACCGCTTCGGCGGCTCTGCGGAGACAGAGAGCACACACGGGGGCTGGTTTCTATTTCGCTGACCGAGCCCAAAGCACCTCCACCCAGAACGAACTTGTCAACGGGAGGAAGGGGAGTATGGAGAACCACTCGAAATGCTGAGTGATTCGAGCTCAACAGAAACAGGTCTTCAATGTCTATCATTTACTGCCAAACTTCTAAAATTAAAAGACAGCCATTAGCAAATCCCAAAAGAGGCATTAGAGACAAACCACAGGATTTTCGCCTTCAAACCAATACACGGTGGTGGGTGTTTTATAGAGAATCCTAGTTCAAAACTCCAGCCTGAGACTGTGAGCATGGAACCGCACACCTAACCATCAACAAAGGCTGTCACGATTCACTTTGTATCTCATAGAAAAATCTCAGGTGAAAAAACAGCAGAAAACTGTATAGGATCTATTCACATTAAAAAGAAAATATATATATATATATATATATATATATATATATATATATATATATATATATATACACTAGAGGCCTGGTGCACAAAAATTTGTGCACTCGGGGGGAAGGGGGGGGTCCCTCAGCCTGGCCTGTTTTCTCTCACAGTCTGGGACCCCTCGGGAGATAACAACCTGCTGGCTTAGGCCTGCTCCCGGGTGGCAGAGGGCAGGCCCAATCCCTAGGTGCAGCCCCTGGTGGGGCTCAGAGCAGGGCCGATTGGGGAGTTGGGGTGCCACCCCCTGTCATGCACAGAGCAGGGCGGATTGTGAGGTTGTAATGCCACCCTCAGTCACCCTCAGGGTAGGGCCGATTAGGGGGTTGGGGCACCGCCCCGTCACACTCAAGGCAGGGTCGACGGGGAGGTTGCGGCGCCACCTCGTCACGCACAGAGCAGGGCCAATCCGGGGGTTGGGGCACTGCCCCCTGTCACGCACAGAGCAGGGCCCATCAGGGGGGTTGGGGCTCCTTACCCTGTCACGCACAGAGCAGGGCCCATCAGGGGGGTTGGGGCTCCTTACCCTGTCATGCACAGAGCAGGGCCCATCAGGGGGTTGGGGAGCTCCCCCGTCACTCACAGAGTAGGGCCGATAGGGGAGTTGGGGCACTGCCCCCTGTCACACACAGAGCAGGGAGGATCAGGGGGTTGGGGCGCCGCCCTCTATCACCCACAGAGCAGGGCCGATCAGGGGATTGGGGCGCCGCCACTGTCACACACAGAGCAGGGCCTGTTGGGGGGGGGGGAGTTGGGGCGCCGCCCTCTATCACCCACAGAGCAGGGCTGATCAGGGGTTTGGGGCGCTGCCACTCTCACACTCAGGGCAGGACCAATGGGGAGGTTGTGGCTCTACCCTGTCACACACAGAGCAGGGCCCGTGGGGGGGGGGGGGGAGGGGAGGCGCCGCACCCTGTCACACACAGAGCAGGGCCGATCAGGGGGTTGGGGCGCCGCACCCTGTCACACAAAGAGCCGCAGGGCAATCAGGGGGTTGGGGAGCTCCCCCGTATCAAGCACAGAGCAGGGCTGATCAGGAGGTTGGGGCGCCTTCCCCTGTCACAAACAGAGCAGGGCGGATAGGGAGGTTGTGGCCCCACCCCCTGTCACACACAGAGCCGCAGGGCGATCAGGGGGTTTGGGCACTGCCCCATGTCACGCTGATCCCGGTGCTGGGAGGCCTTGCGGCTCCGCTGATCCCGGTGCTGGGAGGCATATTACCCTTTTACTATATAGGATAGAGGCCTGGTGCATGGGTGGGGCTGGCTGGTTTGCCCTGAAGGGTGTCCTGGATCAGGGTGGGGGTCCCCACTGGGGTGCCTGGCCAGCCTGGGTGAGGGGATGATGGCTGTTTGCAGCTGGTCACACACCCTCAGGGTGGGGGTCCCCACTGGGGTGCCTGGCCAGTCTGGGTGAGGGGCTGAGGGCTGAAGCTCCCAACTGCTCCTTTTTCTCTTTTTCTTTTTTTATTCTGGGCCAGCTTTAGCTCTGGCTCCAGCTCTGAGGCCTCTGCAGCTGAAAGCAGGTATTTGGTTTGTTTGGGTTCTATAATCGAAGCAATGTATAACTCCAGCTCTGAGATCCCTGCTGGCTGAAAGCAGGTTTCTGGGGTTTTGTTTAGCTTCTATATTTGTTACAATGTTTCAAACTGCAGGCTCAGAGGCCGGCAAGGCAGGCGGGGAACGTTGGTTTCCTCGGTCACTGAAGCAAGCAAGCCTCATGTTAATTTCAAGCTGCCTGGCTGCCGGCCGCCATCTTGGCTGGCAGTTAATTTGCATATCGCCCTGATTAGCCAATGGGAAGGGTAGCAGCCGTATGCTAATTACCATGTTTCTCTTTTTTAGATAGGATATACACATACACATACATACACACACACATATATATAGATTTCAGAGAGGAAGGGAGAGAGAGAAATAGAAACATCAATGATGAGAGAGACTCATTGATTAGCTCCTTCCTGCATGCCCCACTCTGAGGCATGCTCCCTGACCGGGAATCGGCCTCCTGGTTCACAGGTCAATGCTCAACTACTGAGCCCACTAGCCAGGCCACATTTTTATAAATAACTAAAAATCCATTGATCCCCCATCCACCAGAAACACGTGACCAAAATGTTTAGAACAGTTAGTTATCTTGGTGAATTTGAGAGATTTTTTTTCCTTTTAAAATCCCTTATATTTTCTAATTATCCTAAAATAGACACGTAATATTTATGTCATTTAAAAAAGAATACTAAGTTGTAGAAAAGTATTTGATGCAATCAATCCTTTTTGCTTAAAAGGTCTATAATGTGTGTTTGCATAAGCACAACATATTTTTGCAAGGAAAGCCAAGGAAGTATCATGGCTGCCTCTGGGGAGTGGGGGTGGGGAGGTTTTATATATAAATACTGGTTTTATAATATACACTTTTATATATATTATTGATTTCAGAAAGGAAGGGAGAGGGAGAGATAGAAACATCAATGATGAGAGAGAATCACTGATCAGCTGCCTCCTGCACCCCCCACCCCCCACTGGGGATGGAGCCCACAACCCTGGCATATGCCCCGACCGGGAATCAAACCATCACCTCCTGGTTCACAGGTTGATGCTCAACCACTGAGCTACGCCAACTGGCAAGGTTTTATATTTTAATTTTACCTCTTTCTATGCTGTTAACTGTAATGATAATAATACAAATGAGGGAGGAGAGCAATTTTCAATGGGAATAAAAACTTAGGTGTCCAGACACAGAAGCCAAGCCAACAGCAAGCCACAGCCATCAACTTACTTATTGGCCATCTCAGTAGAAAACACATACACCACTTTGGCTGGAGTCTTCTGAGCAGCTGCGGGCTCTGGGGCAGTAGTCTGGCCATGGGAGGGGGGAGAAGACCGGGGGGCCGTAGCATTTGACGGGGTCATCGAGTGTGGTGTGTGCTGTGAGTCCTGGGCCTTTATGTGGTCAGCAGAATTACATTCTAAAAGAATGAAAACCTCATGTCACAGAACGAAGACACCTCTCTTCTGCCAGCATGTACAGCATCACACCACAAACCCACCTTGAAAATCTCAAGGAGGAAGTGCCTTGCTAAGAGGAATCCTCTTCTACTCGTTTGAACTGAAATATGCTTTTCCTCCGTGACGAATTATAAAGCACTGCTCCCACCTCCTCTCCCCACATTCTCCAGATATTAGCATAATGTCCCCTCTTCCTGGAAACCTTTCTAGAACCACGTGGCCTGGACTGGACACCCCCAAGCCCTAACTTCTCTTACTTCAGCAGTTCGAATTGTACACATTTTATCATAGTTGTTTAAGGGTCTGCTGTCCGGGTGCGCCCAGATCCTTGAGGACAGAACTGCATCTGACTTCCCGGCCACGGCAGCCCACACCCAGCACAGCACTCCCACAGGCCGGAGGGGGGAACGAGGGTGGCTCCCCAGGCTCTCCTCCTAATCTGGGCTGGGGAATCACACTCCCACTTCCTGAGTACTGACCATGTGCGGGCCTGCAGTTAAGATTTCTGGTTTTATACCAGGAGGAAAAGGCCTAAACCCACAGCCGCTGTCCCCTTCTTCCTGGCTCACTCCATTTCCATGGCCACCAAGTCTCTGCCACATTGGCATCGGCTGTGACAAACCTGGACTAGTGCCAGGGATCCCCTTGTGCCCACAACTCTGGCAAAGCAGCAACCGCACAGCACAAAACCCAAGTTATGGAGGATTAATCTGACGGAGGAGAGGCCAGAAAAATTGCTCCAGTGTGGGCTGCTCCCACCGACAAACCGGAGTGGCTGGCTTCCATACTGAAGTTCAAACAGCACAGAGACCAGCATCCATCAGAGCATGGTTAGGGCCATGGAGCAGGCAACCATAACCCCAGCACCTGCATCCTTGAGAGCAAGAATTCCTCAGCAAGGTGGTTCCACACTATTCTTTAGCATCAGAAAAGGAGAAGAAACAGTTCCACTTTAAAGGCAAGCTCCTGATTGCCTTTCCACCTGCTCTCCCCACTTGGCTATGGGCTCCCGACATTTGCCAATGCCAGAGGCCTTCCCTCCGAAATACCTACTTCCCTCTGAGTCTCAGAGATCTTATAGACATACCTTTCAGGTCAGGGTCATCGTTTGGAGTCCCAGGATCTCTCTGATCAAAGGAGTCGGCGGAAATACTTCGCTCCCTTTTCCCCTTGCCCTTGGCACCATTTCCAGCCCCATTCTTCAGCCCCATGCTCCCACCTGGGCCAGGGAGCGCTTTAGGGGTATGGCCCGCACTCTTGGAGTCACAGGGGGATGGCTGGGAGTGGCTGGCTGAGCCCCCCTGTTTACCCTGGTTGGAGAATTTGGAATCCAGCTGGGGGTTTCCAGATGGGGACATCACTGTGGGGGGACGGACCATCACCTCCTGCTTTGACTTAGGGCTACTGAAAGAGACAAACAACAGGGCCATCAGACACTGGGAGCAGCTGGTCGGCACCCTCAGGGAGAGGCAGTCCCTAGCATGGGCCAGGGAGCCTGGAGGCCTGTCACCACCCGTTCACCTCAGCCACTTGCTGGTTCCCTCCACCCGCTCCCAGCTCGGCGAGGCGGCTCACACCAGGCCTGCCAGGTCTCGGGAACCCTAGAGCCACATGGGGACCCATCTCTAGGGCTTCTGTCAATAAAGGACAACGGTTTCTATGTACACAGAAGTGACTCTTACACGGAGACTAGCGCAGAGTAAACAAACAGGTCTCGGAGATCACACGGCCACCCCACCCCCAGCTGACGGCCTGGGACAGCTGTAACGGAGCCCAGCTTCTCTGCTGAGAACACAAGGTCCCGAGAGCAAGGCGACCCCATGACTGGCAGGTTACAAACCCCCCACCCCGCCAGGGACCAGTCCCCACCCCCAAGCAGCATCACACTGGAGAGGCTACACTAGCCACTGCCCCCCGGGGACCAGGAAAATTCTAGTAAAACATCAACTTCAGTACATGGGCCGGAGGAAAGAGCTTCCCAGTCGAGGGGCTGCTGTCTTAGTTCTGGACTATGGCGCTGGGTGGTGCTGGAGGCCCTTTCGTTTGTGCTCTGGTGAGGAGGCCAGGTAAAGAGGACCGGAAGGGGAGGATGGACAAAAGGGTAACAAAGAAAAACTGACAGAAATGCTGCATTTACTCTTCTATGACTATTTCCTTATCTAGGGCCTCTTCCTTTCCCCATTTGGTCGCACGGGCCCGTGGGGCAGCCGCCTCACCTCTGTGCGTTTCCTGATGGGGAGCTCCTCACTTTGGGGTTACTGGAATGCATTGATTGAAATCCTGAGCTTGCAGTCACAGGCAGGACGGGCTCCCCGAGTTCCTCTCGGGCGGCAGCAGGAACGGCTGCGCAGGGCAGTGGCAGAGGCCCACTGCGAGCAGGGGGCGCCCCTCAGCGCTGGCCGCCTCGGTGCCTTTTTCCTCTTTGTTTTCCTCCGCTGTGGAAGTGGGTCCTTTCCCCTCGCAGCTCCAGCATCCTCTGGGTGTGTGCCTCCTGCCGCCAAAGGAAAATCTCGCATCTCCAGGGCACACTGCGGGAAAGGACACCCAGAAAGATTGGGAGCAAAACCAGAGACATCAAACACCCTTAGAACAGGATCAAGGTTAACACAGCCGCCGACTCAGCCATGCAGCAGCTAGACCAGGCCTCGGCTTCTGTCAGGTCACAGGAAAGGGTGATGTTCACAGTCTGGCCTACAGGCCCTGGTGCTAAGACGGAGAGTGACTAAGACGTTCTGCCAAGCACCGAGCCTCCCACCCAGGCATCACGTCCCGGGCAGATTCGAGAAAAACACTTTTACCTTGAGCCATGTATTTTCCCTTACATTTCTCTACTTCCAAATATAAAACCCGCAGAAACCTGAGGTTTTCTTTTCTAAAAACAATGCCTTGAACACCACTGGGTACTCCTAATCCACAGCAACTCTCTGGTGTTCCACCTCTGACGACACACAATGGCACCGAAATGCAACCAGCCGGCACCGAAATGCAACCAGCCCGCCCCGACTTCAAACCATGAAGCAAATGAATCTCCGCTCATATTCTCAGGGCCGAGGCTGGGCGCTGGTTCAGGAGGCACTGCTGAAACCAACGCTTGAGCCAGTACCAAACCCAATAGTTCTCCCCGGGTTCCCATGATCTTCCTCGTCAGTTATGTCAACTGGGCGCCTGTCCTCACTGCTCAGGGCAGGGGCTGCAGGCGTGGGGAAGCCTGGGAAGGATCCAGAATGTGACGCTAAAAGAACCTCTTTGAAGGCTAAGGTTTGTTTTAGCCAATTTGCAAGGCTAATTTGAAGCATAAAGGTCAAGAAAATATGCCCAAACCTAGCCAGAGAGCAAATGAGAAAGCCCTTCAGGTAGGAAAACGAGGTGTCTGTGCAACCACTGTTGCTTCGCCTCCCTCCCCGCTTTCTGGTATTTCACTGATGGGGAGGCGACAGAAGGAGGACATTATTAGACACAGGATTCGTGGCTCAGGAACCCAAGAGAGTTAGCAGCAGCTCAGGTGTTACAGCTACGTACATGTGGGGACTCGGGGACGGGACTGACCCTGGGAGGGTTTGTGATACTCCAGGGTTTGGCACTGAGAATGATCGCTGTCAAGTGGGAAATGTCTACTTCTTCGTTCAGAATGTGCAAGAGTCCCAGCTATTTTACCTGCGACACCGAGAGGAATTTATGGAAGTTCTGAGGCCCACGATTACATTCTTTGCTTTTTACGTGAAGTCAGGAAAAAGAACTAGAATAAAATGCTATTGAATAGTTCTGTGTCAACCTTAGGGGAAAGCAGCTCCAAAACACGTTGGTCTTGATTGTAGGTGAAGTTGTATTTTTATCCCACGCCACCTTCAGCTTTTTCGTATTTCCAGTTTAGACTATAAAATTGATTGTGGTTGTCAAGTTTGACATACACAGTCGTAAACCATTCTGTAACTTCTCAGTAAACATCAGGATCCACTGGTAAAATAGAAGCAGCGAATGCATCTTGCACGGAGAGAGCCATCAGGAAACACTTACTCAGGAAAAGAAAAGCTGTTACCACCGATACAGTCCCTTCCTGCAACTTCTCCTGCTGCCTTCTGTCTGCATCACGCATCCCAGTCCTCCACCACATGTCGTACTGAACAGTCTTATGTGTATATTGCATCCCCCTTAAACACTATGTTCTTTGAAGACAAGCACCTTGCTTTGAAGTTCTTCCGTTTTATATACTTCTCTGTACTAAGAAGGTGGCTAAACCCTCGGTGACTTATTCAGTTTCCTCCATGACAGAAGCACCTGGCATGTGTGTTGTAGTCTTCCCCCAAAGACCTCAAAACATATTCCAGATACCAAGTCACCTCAATACGTCAGGCACTTCTGATGAGCTGTTAGCAAAGGTAATTTCTAATGATACTGTGAACATAAAACACTGCCATTTTCAAAGTACTTCTCCATACACTTTCTCATTCTCACAATTTAGTCCAACCTGGTCAACAGGCATTTTACAGATGAATGGACAGAGCACACGGCTGGGAATGGCTCCTCGGTCTCCAGCAGGTGCTTGCTGACTGGGCTCTTTGCTCTCAGTCACCTCCTTGCCATCACTTTATGGCTGGACGGACAGCACAGAGGCTGGAACAAGCATCTGGGGTCACCCAGTGCCCGGAAATCCCAGGTGTTTCAACCCCTAATCCAGGAGGGTGGGCAGGAATAAGTCACCCAGCTTCAGTCTTCCTGACACCTCAACCACTGAGCAGAATCCGCCAACCATCTTGTCATACGGCTCCAAAGAATAAAATTAGGCTCTTCAGCTCCTACGTTTGCACGTTGTACTCAACTGTTTACTTCTAAGGACTGGAAAGATCTACAGAGTGGCTAATTATAGCCAGCGAGAGATTATTTTCCCCAAATACATCTCCTACCTCCTTAGATTTATATATACAATGTTTCCCTCTTTTCTTCTATATAATACTTAAAGCATTTACTATGTGTCAGTCACTCTTCTAAGCACTGCCACTCACTCACAACCACCCCAGAGGCGGGAACCACTGCTCTCCCTACTGAGAGATGAGGACACTGAGGCTCGAAATGTTAAGTGAGTTGCCCAGGTAAGTTGGGTCACAGCCTAGTAAGAGGCAGAGCTGGCGTTCAGCCAAACACTACGGAATGCCTGTCACAGCAGGGACCTGGGGGACGAGGCGAGCTGGTCCACAGAAAGTGCTGAGCGGATGGCGGCATAAACACCGGAGTTTGCTGCCTCGCACAACCACTTCAAAAATACAACTAAAAGACGGAACGGACATCATCCAGAACCACAGGAAGGCTGGCTGAGTGGAAATTCTACAACGAGAAGGAAAGAGAAAAGCATACCGAGACTCAGAGGAGGCGCAGTGCGGAAGTAAAATACTAAGGTGCGGAGGCGCGCACGGAGCGGGCTGAGGGCGCGGTTGTCGTTTTAAATCGGGAGGGAGTCTCAGGCTCTGAGCTCCAGTTCCGGGCGAGTCTCTGGGGACCCAGACTCATACGGGAGAACCAGGACTGTCTGGCGGCGGTCGGAACTCGAGGGCAGCTTTCTCTCAGAGGGGTTTGCAGCGATTGCTGGGACACTGAGGAAGCGGGGCCTCTGAGAGCAGCCATAACTGCTAGCCCTGCCCTGTTGATCCCGTGGGACCCGCCCCGCCCAAACCCTGCAGGGAGGCTTTTGCTGGGTAGCCTCAGGCAGAGGCTAGATTAGCACCTCCCTAGCTATCCAGGAGCCAGTGTTCCCAGTGGTCAGAGTGGGACCATCCAGTTTGCAGCTCCTCGGATCCATAAAGGACACACTCAGGGGGCAGACGCAGTGAGCACCAAAGCCCCACTGAAGCAAGTCTTGCCCGGGAGGGGTGTCTCCAGCACAGAAGTTCTCCCACTGCAGACACAGCTGATTCTCACAGCCAATTGGCCTGGAGGTCAATCCCTCCCAGTGATACCTACAACAATCAAGGCTTAACTACAACAAGACTGTGCACAAAGACCACAAGGGGGTGCACCAAGAGTGTCCTCCTCAGGTAATTGGGGAGGCTGAACCACTGGGCCCTAGAGGACACTTAGCACAGAAAACCACTTTATCAACACAGGGAAGCATAAAAAAGGCAGAGACAAAGAAACAGGACACAAATGACAGAAATGGAGGAAAGCAAACTACTGGATATAGAGTTCAAAACCACACTTTTAAGGTTTTTCAAGAACTTTCTAGAAGCCACTGATAAATTTAGTAAGACCCTCAAAAAGCCTGGTGAGACTGCCAATAAATGTAGTGAGATCCTCAAGAAATCTAGTCAGACCCTCGAGGTTATGATAAAGGACCAACTGGAAATTAAGCATACACTGACTGAAATGGAGGATATTATACAGACTCCCAACAGCAGACTAGAGGATCGCAAGAAGCAAGTCAACGATTTGAAATACGAAGAAGCAAAAAACACCCAACCAGAAAAGCAAAATGAAAAAAGAATCCAAAAATATGAAGATAGTGTAAGGAGCCTCTGGGACAGCTTCAAGCGTACCAACATCCGAATTATAGGGGTGCCAGAAGAAGAGAGAGAGCAAGATATTGAAAACCTATTTGAAGAAATAATGACAGAAAACTTCCCCTACCTGGTGAAAGAAATAGACTTACAAGTCCAGGAAGCGCAGAGAACCCCAAACAAAAGGAATCCAAAGAGGACCACACCAAGACACATCATAATTAAAATGCCAAGAGCAAAAGACAAAGAGAGACTCTTAAAAGCAGCAAGAGAAAGAAACTCAGTTACCTACAAGGGAGTACCCATACGACTGTCAGCTGATTTCTCAACAGAAACTATGCAGGCGAGGAGGGAGTGGCAAGAAATATTCAAAGTGATGAATGCCAAGAACCTACAACCAAGATTACTTTACCCAGCAAAGCTATCATTCAGAATTGAAGGTCAGATAAAGAGCTTCACAGATAAGGAAAAGCTAAAGGAGTTCATCACCACCAAACCAGGATTATATGAAATGCTGAAAGGTATCCTTTAAGAAGAGGAAGAGGAAGAAAAAGGTAAAGATACAAATTATGAACAACAAATATGCATCTATCAACAAGTGAATCTAAGAATCAAGTGAATAAATAATCTGATGAACAGAATGAACTGTTGATTATAATAGAATCAGAGGCATAGAAAGGGAATGGACTGACTATTCTTGGGGGGGAAAGGGGTGTGGGGGATGCGGGAAGAGACTGGACAAAAATCGTGCACCTATGGATGAGGGCAGTGGGTGGGGAGTGAGGGCGGAGGGTGGGGTGGGAACTGGGAGGAGGGGAGTTATGGGGGGAAAAAGAGGAACAAATGTAATAATCTGAACAATAAAGATTAAAAAAAAAAAAAAGAAAGAAAGTGCTGAACGGCACAACACAGCGTCCGGTTAGCTACTCCTATGGCGACCACCACGCTCCAGCAAGCTCACGCGCCTCACATCACTCCATACCTTCTCCCTCCCTCCCCCTTCTCGTGCAGGGTCTTTCTTGCCCAGGACTTATAGGGAGAAGAGAGGTCTCCAGGCAGGAAGTCCTGACCACCTTATCTCCAACCTGTTTACATCACCACCCATTCCCTCTTTCTTCTCTATTCCTGAACCAGAAAGGGGTCCCCTCTTCCCCAAACGCCATCCCCCACAGGTGCGCCCCCCTCCCCCCCTTCCGCTGACTGAGCCTCTCTCTCTCTCCTTTGGCCATGCCCTCCGTCTCCCACATCTCCTGAATATCTCCCAGCAGCGCTCAGACAGTTGTAGCCTCTTTCCGATTAGGAGTAACAATAAGGAAAACCAAAACCCAGCCCTGGCATCCCATTCTCCTTCAGAGCCAAGCTGCTCCAGAGAGCTGACAGGACACGGCCTTCATGTACTTCCTCACCTGCCCGTCACCCTTTAACCATTTTAAACCCACGTCTCCCCACAGATCGCAGAAACCACTATTTTTGTTAAGGTCACCACGGGCCACTTCTCTAACCTCGTCTTATTCCATCTTGGAGCTTGCCAGCTGATCACTTCCTTCCTGAAACTCTCTTCCCAGCACCGTCCACGCACACCTGCTCCCCCACGGCCTCCGGAAGGCAGGGGCCACTGCGATGCCCATTTCACAGATGTGCAGACTCTCTTGGTTTCCACAACACCACACTTCCTTAGGTTTCCTACCACTCCAGCCCTCCAATCGCTGACCCCTCTCCCCGATCTCTATAATTTAGAGTTCCTCGGACTCTACCCTGGCTCCTCTTCTCATTCTGTAAGTTCTCTCCATGCCAACCACCCCAATTTTACTTCTCCATCGGCAGGCTTACAGACACAGCTGCCAACCTGACAGCACCTCAATGTCTCACACTTAACAAGATCAAAGAATTCCTCTTCTCTATATTCCCTGTCTCCCAAAAACACTTCCCTTCAGTCTTCCACATTTTAGTAGACGGCACCTTCATCTCCAGCTCATGCCCATAACTGGGGAGTCATTCTTGACACCTTTCTCCTTTACTCCAACCCAAACCTAAGCTTGAGTACTTTTGCCGAATGACTGTGTCCCAGCCTCAGTGTGTCTTCTTCGGAGAGGAGGGACACCTGACTGCCACGAATCTCCACAACACCCTCCCTTTCACACTTTTCATCGCATCCTGTTTCACATTCACAACACTTTCCATGTTTGTAACAATGTGCTCGCCTGTGTAACATTCACCTCTCTCACCAGGCTCCATGCAGGCAGGGGCCAAGACTGCTATGTTCATCCCTATATTCCTAGCATTTACCATAGTGTCTGGCACATGGTATTTGCCGGAAAATATCGGGAGCCCGCCCAACCTCCCCATTCCCCGCCCCGCAATCGTCTAAGCCAGGCGCGCTTTCTAGAGGGATCGTCCATCAGGCTACTCACCCAAACCCCCAGGGTCACGACACGGCAGTGCTCATCCTGGAGGTGAGAAGTCAGAGGAGCCCAGGAAGCCCTGGCTCAAAGGTGACCCTCACCTGGACAAGGAGAAAGTAAAGAAGAAAAACTCCTAAGTGGATTTTTAAAATCAACAATATGATTTGTTACTGAACATCTTAAGAAAAGGACAGGTTGCCCATTTATCCTAGAACATGAGTTGAAGGGAAGTTGTCCTCTCCCGTGTGAAGAATGAGTGTGACGGGCATCCTGTCAATCAGTAGCTGGTTCCAGGCTGTGACTCTCCCTCTTTCCCAGAGACTGGAGAAATACTAAGAACAAGTAAAACTGACTGTCCTTTTCAAATTTCTGGGAGCTTAGCAGGAAAAAAGCCCATTTTGCTTCTGCACATTCCTTATTAGTACAGAGAACCGAGAGCTGACTGTCAGGTGAGGGAGACAGAAGTCCACACACGCTCTTGATTCACCAAGTGAAGACCATTCTCTGCTCCTCCTTCCTCCCAGCTTAATCCACTGGGAGGCCCTGAGCAAGGAAATCTCCTTTCATAGGCTTTGGGGGGAGGGGGCTGAATGCGGACCATGACTCCCTCTGACTGAGTGCCTACTGTGCGCAGTGTCGGACCACATGACTCCCTCGGACTGAGTCCTACTGTGAGCAGTGTCATGCTGAATTGAGCTGGTAAATCCACAGAGGCTCTCGTCAAGAGGAACATGTCCAGCAAGAGTCCTTACAAATCAGAAGGGCAGCACTGCGCCCCCTTAGCCCACAATGTATAGTTTCCAAACTGCAAGGAAGAACCAAGTCCCAGAGTGTCCTAAGGCCAGATCACTTAGGAAACTTTCAAAGAAGACCCTACAGCAGCGGTTCTCAACCTGTGGGTCGCAACCCCTTTGGGGGTCGAATGACCCTTTCACAGGGGTCGCCTAGGACCATCGGAAAACACATATATAATTACATATTGTTTTTGTGACTAATCACTATGCTTTAATGATGTTCAATTTGTAACAATGAAATTGGGGGTCACCACAACATGAGGAACTGTATTAAAGGGTCGCGGCATTAGGAAGGTTGAGAACCACTGCCCTACAGGTTGCCACAAGTCATAAGGAAATTCACAAATTAACCGATCCCAGGCCAGAATCACCGCTCCGATTCCAATTTCAACTCTTCCAATGATCCTTTCCCACTGCCCTGCTCTAAAAAGTCAAGTGTATTACAACTCTGTCCTGTTTAGCAAACTTTTCTAGGCTATGATCATTGCTCCATAAAAGGCATAGAATCAAACTCAGAATGTGGGACTAACAGGCCTCAGGATTCCATTCCTCGCGCCTTAACTTCTGGCACGCCAACTGCTAAAAGGCTTCCTCTCAGAAAAAGTACACAATCGGAAGAACCAAGCTTTCCAACGTGTGGCAAAAACAAACTAGACTAAGGGCACGTCCTGAAAACCTTGGTGCAAACAAAATACTAATACTTGTTCTCATACTCACAGGGGAAAAACGGACATCTGTCATCCTTGAAGCTAACAAACTTTAAGCAAGCAAATAAAAAAGCGAAAGCATTCTGACAAAATTTAAGCACTCAAAATTAAATTTCAGCCCTGGCTGGTGTTGCTAAATGGTTAGAGCCCCTGGAAAGGAGGTTCCTCCTCTCAGCACCCAGCACCCAGCAGAAACTCAACCAATGCTGGTGGAGCCCAACTGAGCCCAGGGCTTGGCAGTGCTACCAGGCCTCAAAGTCACTCAGACCAACGGCAACAGGACAAACACCTGCTCTAACTCCTCACCCCCCGCCGTGCCCATGAGGTGCGCTCCTGCAGAAGTCCCTGCTCACAGAGAAGTATAAGGTCACTGCACCGGCAGTTCTGACTGACGTTTAACCCCATGACCTCTGCCTTGAGGACTGCTACAACAATAAACAAACAAACGCACTTTTAACTTACAAGAGACCCTGCAGAAAAAGACACAACAATACAACCCACTGAGATTAAACCACAGGAGTGATGGGCTCATCACAGGCTCTTTACCTTTCAAGATGGCCAATCCGCTTTCTCTTCTACATCAGGGCGCAGGAGCTTCCCAAGAACGGGCTCTGCTTCCCACGCAGATGGGAAGTTCTAGGTCAACGTGGAGTGACGCCGGTTAGTCCCACGTTCAGTCCTACAGGGATGAGAAGAATGGAAAAGTTCATCCCCCAATTCACACCAGTTTCAAAGAGAACCCCCCGTTCCCCAAGCCGCTGAAGCCAAAACAGTATCTGGAAGAAAATGATCAGGTCTAGGTCAACAATGGGAAGGCAGGCAAAACCACTAAAACTCACAAGGTAAGCTGGAGCGCTGCGGCCCAAGTCCATCGCGACGAAGACTTGGGTAGTTTATAAACAGCAGAATCCAGCAGACGCAAAAGCCTCTTTCTAATCATCGTTTTTCACTTTCTCCACAACCAAGAACAGTCACCACTGGCTGCAAAACGCCCTTTTATTTTAGATCTCCTCTGTGCCCTTGCTCTTAGCATGGCGGAGATGCTGAGAAAATATTGCAAAGCTTAGAATGCAAGCGGCCATAAGATCATTTGACTTTTGAAAATCAGTTGGTCTAGAGCAGGAATTCTTAATCTAGGATCTACTGCCTCCCCAGGGGTCTGTGGAGAGGCCAGGGAGGGAGGGCAACTGTGAACTTGCTGGGGAACTTCCATCTTCACAGTCACTAACCTCGGAGTAAAAGTTAGCACTGCCCTCAGTTGTGGACATAGGTGACAACTGGCGGCAGTATCAGCTGTCCTGTGACTGCGACACCAAGAGAAACCACAGACACTTTCACATCACATACAGTCCCTGCAGATATGGCCACAGAGTATTTACACTCATCACTATTTCAAAATTATAGTATTGTTAGACCTGTAGCTACTTTTTGCTATTTAATGCATCATAAAGAAGCATGTAAATGACTATCACAATTGTTTAACATTTTACTGTTTCCGTGTCATTTGTAATTCTGTTTATGCATTAAAAAAAACCATGATTCTCAGAAGGGGTCCTCACGATTCATTAGATGGCCAAGAGATACATGGGTCACAGATGTTAAGAACCCCTGATCTAGAGCAAATAAAGTTTCTATAAGCCCTGACATCATAGTCACCGAGGCAGACAGACAAGTCAGTCATTCCACCAGCATCAGTTCATATTTGAAGAAAATTAAGGCACCAGGAAGCTAAGTAACATGTCTGAGATCACACAAATTTAGGGCTGGTATCAGCCTAAGGTTAGCTATCGCTCACCGAGTGTTTATTCCACTATCCCCCGGGACCTCTGCTTAACTTTCTACAATTGTCATCGCTATTTCTGTCTTGCCACTGAAAGGGGAAAACTAATAAAAAACAAGGCCCAGACAAACAGAACAAGATCGACGGATAAGCTACTCCTTTCAGTTCCTTAAACAAGTGTGCTAATCACTGCTACCTAAGCTGAATTCGGTCTGTTCCTGAGACAGAGTTTGAGAAGCGAGAAGAAGGTTGAGCTGTATAATACAGAATCTCTCACTCTCAGAAGTGCTCAAAGCACCCTGCAGAGAGCACCAACTTGCTAAGCACTGCAATGCCTTATGAGTGGTCTGGGCAGGGGTCTCACCACAACATCAATGGGAAAACCGGAGAGTAAATGAGATTTGTTCCAAGTCACACAGAAGCCAATGGGAGAGCCAGCCTCCTGATTGCTACAACCACTGTCCCAAGTCACTGCGACCAAGTATGCGGCTGATGATGATGCTTGTGAGACCTCTGTACTCTCCCCCCTACCCCCAAGCCAGAGAGAATCTGCTTTTGATTCGGAGGCGCAGGCAATTCCTGAAGGCCGGAGGGGAAAGAGCCCACAGAAGAAATTCCAGTGCACAGAAGTACCTTTTCACGTGTGCTAGTCATCTCAGAATCCAGGTCAGGAACCCTTAGCTCAAAATCCAAATTACATACAAATTGCCAGTGATGGCGAACCTGACACGCGTGTCAGAGGTGGCACGCGAACTCATTTTTTTTGGTTGATTTTTCTTTGTTAAATGGCATTAAATATATAAAATAAATATCAAAAATATTAGTCTTTGTTTTACTATGGTTGCAAATATCAAAACATTTCTATATGTGACACGGCACCAGAGTTAAGTTAGGGTTTTTCAAAATGCTGACACGCCGAGCTCAAAAGGTTCGCCATCACTGCCTTATATGAAGAGAGCAGTATGGAGGCTGTTCCTTCATCTCAGAGTCAATCACCTTCTTCTCCCCCTACCATATCGTATGGAACTATTACCATCTTACATTCAGAACTGTTACCACAAAGTAACATTCCAATGGCTCAACACCATTAGATCCCAGGTCCTAACGCTATGGATGCAATGCCAACTGCTTCGGCTTTGCGTTACATTTCCCTTCTGATCCACACCGCCAGCTAACATGGAATTCTCATTCCTCAAAGCATCCTTATGCCACCTCGGTGCTCGCTCATTTTACTAAGCCACTCTGTCTTTAACGGCGTGGGTCTTTTTCACTAGTTAGGAAGGAGGTCTTTCTTAAATGTACACGTAGGGCCGTAACATTATTTACGCTAACGTTAATGTCTTGCCAAAACTTCGCCAATTAATAGCATCCAGTCAAAAAAAAAATCAACAGGACAATCAAAGGTTCTTAACCCGCCCATGAATCTTACCCACCAATCTCTCGCCCCACCCACCCCATCTCTCAATTATTTCACTACTTAGCCTTCCCACCTGCTAAATCTGGTTCATCACAATGCAGGCGTCCACCTCTCTGGCCCAAGAATGGACACTTAGTTCTTGAATATGTCAAATGTTAAATACTCGACCACCTGCCATTGATCAGATGTAACTCTTTACACAGCCGCTCAATCACTCTCCCACGACAGTCACTGGCAGGGGTCTACCCACCTTGGCCTGAACCAACGCCTAATCCCACCTAAGAGTCTCCCCACCAAGAGACAGCTGTCCACTGCTCTACCTCGTCCAATGACTTCCCAGTCCCCACCTGGGCTACCGTGGAGCCCCGAAGCCACCCCTCCCCAGCACAGACCAGGCCTCCTCCTCCAGGCCCCCAGCAGCACCGCAGGCCCGGGCTCTCCCCTCTGCACATCACAACCGGCCGTGGTTTTCCCAAGGGAATCTCCATTTCACCGGCTCCCCACCACCCAGTGACATCTCAATCGTCTCTGCAACTTTCAAAGGTCAGTGACTGGGGCTCCGCTTCGGAAGCCACTGGTGTGTCCACGACCCCCACAGCGACTCCCGGGCCCGCCGTCACCTCACCTGCTGGCCCCCCCGGTCCTGGGTCTCCCCGGCTTTCACTTTCCCCGCCTTCAACAAGTCACCCGCCTGCAAAGTCCCCGGCCCGCGCGGTGCACCCTCGGGGCTTACAGACCCAGCCCGGCTCGGCCCGAATTCCCGGGTGAGTTCTCCGTCTCCCCCTCCCGCCCCTTCGTCCCGGGACCCCAGGACCGTCCCATCCCACTCAGCTTCCCCCAGCACCGCTCGGGACAAACCTCAAACCCAAGATGCCTCCGTCTCCCCCCGCCGCGCGGCGAGCTCAGGGCAGGGACGCCCCCAGCTCCCCACCCAGATTTCTCCAGACTCAACTCACTCAACTGCAGCCTCGCCCCCCGCCCCCTCCCTCCCTCCCCTCCCCCGCCCGCGGCTTTCCGCGGCCGCGGCTGCCCCTGCCCCCAAACCGGCTCAAAACACGCGGACGCGGACCGGCTCCCCGACCCCCCCACCCCCCGGGCTCGGTCCTTCCCACCCCCCTCCCCCCGAGGTGCCGCTTACCCCGGAGCGGGCGTGGGGGAGGGGAGCGGCGCGGGCAGGGCGGGGGCTGCGGCCCGGGCGGCTCTCAGCCCCGGGGGGCCGGGGCCGGGGCCAGCGGCGGCGCAGCGTCTCCCCCCGGCGGCGGCGGCGCCGTCCCACTCCCACAGACACACATAGGCTCCATTGTCCGCCGGCGCCTCCCCCTTTCCGGCTCCCCTCCCGGGCCCGCCCCTTCCCTCCCCTCGGCCCTCCCCCGGCCGCTCCGCGCCACGAAGCGCGCCGCCCGCCCCACCGCGGACGCGAGCGGAGCCGGGCCCCTCCCCCCGGCCGCGACGTCCCGCCGGCGAGGGAAGGGGCCGCCCCTCCCCGCCCCTCCCCGCCCCAGCCCGGCCAAGCCGCCGGGAAGGGCCCGCCCCCATCTAAGGGAATGTCACTCGTCCCCTCCCGGCGCGCGCGATGGTACCAACCCGACCGCTCCTCTGCCCCTCCCCCGCCTTCCCGGAGAGGCCCCGCCCCTCTCCCCGCCCACCACGTGGCCCCGCCCCCTCCTCCAATATTTTACTCTGGGACCGCCCATCGCGGGCACCTCCTCCTGCTTTGCATGGCCACGCCCCCGGATTCCCTCTCCAGTAAGTCAACAGCCAGCGGTGATGCCTACTCCCCGCCTTAAAGCGGCAGAGCCCTTTCTTAACTAAAAGAACCTCCCCCAGGGCCGGCGGGGTGGGAGTGCGGCCAGGGAGGGGGCCCCTTCTTCCCCGCACCTTCCTCCCTCGCACACACTCACCCGGAACCCCCGCCCGCCGCCCGCAGCACCGAGAGCAAACCTAGGGGACTGGGAAGGCGGGAGGGGGAAGGGCAGCGTGGAATTTGGCCATCTTTGACAGAAACGAATTGGAAGAAGCAGAAAGGGGTCTCTGCTGCGTGCTGTCCTCTGAAGGCTGCCCCCTCGCACCTCCAGGAGGCAATGTCACCCTTCCCCGTCCCTCCTCGTCACCCCTCAATCTGGGCACTGCCTTTGCTGTGCTGGCTTTCTCCCCTCCTGGGGAGCAGGCCCCTTCAAGGGGGTGCACTCCCCCCCCCCCCCGCCCTTCAAGCAGGTTCCCGCCCGGGTCCTGCAGGTGGCTCCTGCGGGGTCTCCCAACCCCGCCCAGCCCAGCCTCGCTCACGCGTAGCTAGCGAGTGCCCATAGGGGACCTTCAGCCCAAACCCTCCAATCGCGGCACCACCGCCTTTTAATGGCAGCATCGCTCCCCAGATGTGTCGGAAGGCCTCTGTTTTGGGGAGCTCAGAGCCCGGGCATCCCCGCACTGCCCCCTGTGAAGCGAGAAGGTAACCCATGTGATTGCACTTTTTCTCAGCAGAAAAAATGACAGCATCATGGTGCATAAAGCGCAGTCTGGCTACTGTTTTATCTCTGTGACCCACGGTTATTACAGACCCACCTGCCCCCCAGCCCCCCCCCCCCCCCCCGACACTGCCGATGCCCCTCTGTATTGGGAGAGTCTCATGGACGGTGTTTCTGCTACTCTGTGCACTGGCTTTTGGAATCAGCTGAGTGAAGGCTGTCTGTCTTACAATGTACTTGCCTGTTCTCCCCGAAGATGGATGGAGACAACGTGGCCAAGGGAAGGAGATAAATTTCCTTCTGGTTTTGCTTCTGTCACCATGGTTTTAACCAGGCTACTTATTTCTGTGTCAATTTCCCTGCGTATAAAATAGGAAGTCTTCCTCGGAGCAATCTTTTAACCAATGGTACTGGCTGTAAAGGCTGATACAGGAGAGCCCTACATGATAAAAAGCTTTGGAGACCATTTTTAAAACTCTTAACTGGTCAAATAAGTATCTATGAAATGTCTCCCCAGCTTAGATTTTCTGAAAAACTTTTTTCATAGCAAGATCTTCTCTGTCTTCCATTATGACTGAGGACATAAATGCAGACAAAAACACAGTAGTAGGTGTAAACAATATAAGCCTAAGATCAGCTGAAGGATTCCAAATGGGAAGTAATTAAAATAATAATGCTTTTTTTTTGGGGGGGTGTCAATTTTTGGCAGTAAAACTTTTAGTGTAACATAGGTAAGAAACCTCTGTAAAAGAAGGTGGAAGGAAAAAGTCAGGATATGAAAAGACAACTAAAGCCACGAAACATTAGAATTGCTAATGTAGGTGGAGAGAAGGGATTCATAGACCTGCCTGTAAGAAAATAACACTGCTAAAATAAGCTCTGGCCTGGGTGTTTCAGACCAGATCACCTTTCTCTAAAAATTCAAAAATGAGCTCATTATAACAATAATACTCATTCAAAACATCCTAACCATTTTATTAGGCATTACCCCCTCACTCCACTATATATGTGTCAAAGTTCAAAATTATGTTCTGAGCCAGAAGAAAAATGTAAATGAATATTAAATGTGAAGCACTATGGTAAAAAGGCAATAATATCAAGCATGCTAAAGTCATGGAATCTAATGATTAAGATCTCCATAGTAATGATAATTTAGCTACATTGTTCCTGAAATTGAAGTGTGTTCTAAAATATGAATTATTTTATCAAATATTTATCGATTTTGCTAAAATGTTTGTCCTTTGAATTTTCCAATTTCCTTACATTTACATTTGAGAAAGAATTCTATTTTGCTGTATAAGGATCAAGCATACTGTATGTACATACAAAAATACTAATAGAAAATGAGGAAATCATTTTTTAAAGAATTCTGTAAATAAAAAGCTTCCAAATATTTCTGCTACTCTAGAAATTCTAAGATAAATCATTTTTAATCCAAATGATAAAACTGTTTTTTCAAAAATGAAGGCTTTTGCCAGGCCAGAGTGGCTCAGTTGAGCATCCTCCCATGCACCAAAAGGTTGCTATAGGATTCCTGGTCAGGGCACAAACCTGGTCATGGGTTTGATCCCCAGGCAAGGAGCATACATGTTGATGTTTCTCTTTCTGTCTCTCTCCATCCCTCTCTCTAAGCATGTCCTCAGGTGAGGATTTAAAAAAAAATGAAGTTACAGAAAGAGAGATTAAAAAACCAATCCCATTTACCATTGCACCAAAAAAATTAAGATACCTAGGAATAAACTTAACTAAAGAGGTAAAAGACCTGTACTCAGAAAACTACAGGACGTTGAAAAAAGAGACAGAGGAAGACATAAACAGATGGAAGGACATACCATGTTCATGGATTGGAAGAATCAACATCATTAAAATGCCCATACTACCCAAAGCAATCTACAGATTCAATGCAATCCTCATTAAAAT